AATATAATCTATAATATAATATCGGTAATTTTATATTACATAATATGAACTATATAATAATACATACAATATATAAAAATAATATTTAATCTAATAAAATATATAAAAATATAATAATGTATAAGTAAAATATATATATTTTGTATATATTCAAAAAAATGTGTGTTCTATTAAAAATGTAATATATATATATATGTGTGTGTTTATATTTATATATATATATAAAAATATATATAATAAACTATATGTCTGAGAGCATTATCCAAAGACTTCCTGAACCCTGCCAGGCTTGGAGCTGTGAGGAGGCTGGGAGGCACCGCAGGGCCATGCCTGGGCACGGGGCCAGGAGGAAACCACCGTCTTCCTGCCCGGGCGCCATGTCACGTGGGCTGCGGTTTGTGCACCTGCAGTGGCAGGCAGGCTCCAGCTCCCGACCCGCCGCGGGGAATAACGGCTCCTGGGTGACACGCTGAGAGCCAGGGAGACGCCTGAGGCTCTGGGCTGCAGCTCTGCTGCCAGGGCAGGCCCTGGACCAGCTCTGGCTGCTGCCGGGACCCCACAGGAGGCTCCCTGGGGAGGGACGGGACAGCCAGCACCCCCATCATGGGGCTCTGGCCCTGCCCAAGGGCCTTTCCCAGCTGCTGCTGCCAGCACAGCAGGGGGCTGTAGCAGGGGCAGGGGCTGGTCCCTTCCCAGCCTGACACAGCCCCACTGCAGGACCAGCCCCGTGGATCCCATGGCGCAGGGACGGCCGGACAATCACACCTTGGGCTCTTGGATGCTACAGCTCAGGAGATGCTCCGTGCTCCCACAGCAGGCTGCAAGGGGTGTCAGAGCCATCTGCCCCCACACCCAGCCCTACCCCACGATGATGTCCCACCGCAGTGACGTGAGAGCCGCAGCGGAGCCGTCCCTCATATATGGTCATGAAGAGCACTGGAGAAGTTCATTGGAGAGCTGGGCTGCGTCGGAGGGGAGATAAGTGCCGATAACTTCTAAAAAGGTGCCTGCTGCTTTGATTGGCTCCTCCTGCAGCTGGGACAGCATCTGCACAGATATATTGCCCTCCCATCATCTCCATTGACCTTTGGGTCCCCAGGAGCTCCAGCAGCAGGGCCGTGCTGTCAGGACAGGAGCCTCAGGATGGGGACAGAGGGACTCCTGTCCCCTTGGGTGCTGTGTCTGCTCCTCTGGGTGCATCCATGCAGAGGTAAGTGCCAGCTTCTCTGTTCCACAGCCTTGGGACAGTGGGCAGCAGTGGAGTCCTTGTGATGCTTCTGGGAGTGGGGTTGCTTTGCAGGCACCACTGAAATGAGAGGCAGAAGATTCTCGGTCTCTCAGCCCCATTCTTTAACCTGTGCCTGTCTTTGTGGGAGAGGGTAATCCTTTTCCACAGCTCCCATGATTATGGCAGCCCATGCCTGGCATCATTACTAGACTCCTTGCCCTTGGGGACCCTTTTGGTAGCCCTTGTTCCCCATCACTGTGCCTCAGGATCTGGAGGAGTCCCAGACAGTGAGAGTGACCCTCAGTGATCTCCAAGGCACAGCCACTGTCCGGGGTGCCCCAGAGGGCTTGTGTGCTGTTCCCTGCTCTTGGGATCTGGGGAAACACTTTCTCCAGGAAGGCAGGTTGTGTCCCATTAACAGAAGGGGACTGGGGCATCTGCACCCAGAAGTGGTACAGAAGTGTCCTTCCTGGGGCTCTGTCCAAGCAGAGGGACTAATCTGACAGCAGGGACGAGGAAGGGTTTTTGGGATCCTTGTGTTTTCAGTGCCCTGTGGGCACCCTAGAGGTCCTGGGTTGGACAGTGGTTTTAGGAGGTGCCTGTGGCAGACAATAGGCGATGGAAGCTGCTCAGGGGCATGGGACTGTTTGGGGGACACTGGGCTGGGGAGGAGTGGGAGCCCCATGCAGGGCTGGGGGCTGTGTGGGGATGGGTATGGGCGGGGACAGGGGTCCACTGGGGTGGGAGGAGGTGGTGAGGGCTGTGGGGCAGCAAATGGCCCAGGAGGGCTAGAGCTGGGTACCCCCAGCCCAGCATAGAAATGGGAAAAACAGGGAACCCCATTGCCCCTGGGAGAGCGTATGGGGACAGAGATCCCACCCTGGGGACTGTGATTATGCCTGGGGAGGGGGTCTGTGAGTATGGGGCTCAAAGCTCTCCTGACCCTTCCTTTGTTGGTGTTTGAAGGGGCTGCGGAGGTGAGGCTAGCAGATGGTGACGGGCGCTGTGCTGGGAGAGTGGAGATGAAACTCCATGACGAGTGGGGGACCGTGTGCCATTACGACTGGGACATGTCCGATGCTGCAGTGGTTTGTAGGCAGCTGGGCTGTGGGGTTGCTCTTGAAGCTCTTCACAAAGCACACTTTGGGCCAGGATCTGGGCCCATTTGGATGGTTGTTGTTGAGTGTAATGGCATGGAGTCTGCCTTGTCTGACTGCAGTCATGCAGGACGTGGTGAATCCTACTGTTCTCACAATCTGGATGCTGGAGTGATATGTTCAGGTATGGGTTAAACCTATTACCCACTTTTTGAGACTGGGACAAGGGAAAAGGGTAACAGCTCATGGGTCAGGGCACTTCAGAGCTCAGTCTGTCACATGTCCCTGGGAAAAACACTGCCAAGGGGCCAACAACAAGCATGACCTTGAAGCTGGAGCAGACAAGCCTGGGGAGGTTCTGGGAGAGGAAAGCTCCCACCTTTCCCCATTGTGTTGCCTGGTTCCCATCTTTGTCATCCCATTCACCCAGGCCCAGCCTGGCAGGCTGGTCCCTATGCCAGGGGAATCTAGAGCAGCTCCCCCAGCCACCAGCAGCCTCAGGGAAGGGCGTGCAATGGCCCAGGACTTTTGGGTTGTACCCCCAGCAGCCAAGAGAACCTCGGCCAAAGCAGAGGGGCTGCTCAGAGGGCAGGAGCACTGAGGTTGTGCAGAGGAACATGGTGGCAAGGAGCACCCTGTTCATGTCCTGGGGTCACCCCATGAGTGCCAGCCCCTAGGGACACGGCCCTCCAGGCCGTGCTGACCCACTGCCCAGCCTCTCCTGCCTACCCTGTGCCCCAGAGGGGGCTGTGCCAGCACCTCCTGGCTCTCCTCGGTGCCTGCCCTCACACCGGGAGCTCGTGTCAGCCCAGGTCTGCTCTTTGCCTGATCTGGGAACTCACAGGTCTCCTTGGTTGCTCCAGGATTTGTCCAGCTGGTCGGAGGGGACAGCCCCTGCTCAGGAAGTGTGGAGGTCTACGACAGGGACCAGTGGAAAGCTGTCTGTCACTCTCACTTTGATGACAAAGCTGCCGAGGTGGTGTGCAGGGAGCTGCAGTGTGGCACAGCCCTGTCTGTCCATGGGGCAGCTCAGCTGGGAGAAGGGGCCGGTCCTTTCTGGGACAGAGAGCTGCAGTGTGTGGGGAATGAATCCACCATCCTCTTCTGCCCCTGGAGAGCCCCTGGGAATGAGGCCTGCACCCACAGCAATGACCCTTATGTCATCTGCACACGTAAGGACTCGAGATGTAATAATGCTGATGGGGGTTGTGGTGGGGGAAGGAGAGCAGGGTGGGCACTGGGCTGTTCTGGGTGGGGGACAGGTGGGGTGAGGTGGTGGTCTGCGGCCCTAAAATGAGAGTGCTGCAGGAGGAGAAAGGCACGCTGTCCCTTTGGCCTCTCCTGCAGCTCCTGTGGGAGCAAGAGCACAAATGTGGCCTCTCTCACCCTCCTTTGTCCCCAGAGTACACAGGGTTCAGGCTGGTGAACGGCAGCACAGCGTGTGAAGGCAGGGTGGAGGTGGAGGTGCTGGGACATGGGGAACCCTCTGTGCCTCCCGCTGGGACCTCTCGGATGCCCACGTTCTCTGTCGGCACCTCGGCTGTGGCTTTGCTGAGTCCATTCCTGGAGGAGGGCATTTTGGGAGAGGAACCGGCCCCGTCTGGAGAGACTCGTTCCACTGTGACGGGACTGAAGCCCACCTGGGGCAGTGCCCGGTGACTGCCCTGGGGGCCTCGCCGTGCTCCCAGGAGAACGCTGCTGCTGTCATTTGCTCAGGTGAGTGCTGGGCATTGCTGCAAAGTCCATTTGGCCCTGGAGTGTGACAAGGCCATCCACAGCTTTGGACCCCATGGCAGTGCCTTGCTGAATTTCTCCTCTCACCAGGCCCGGCTCACCACATGTCTGTACGGTTGGTGGGCGGAGGGAGCCGGTGCGATGGGCTCGTGGAGGTCTTCCAGCACGGGACGTGGGGCAGAGTCCTGGATGAGCAGTGGGACATGCAGGAGGCCAGCGTGGTGTGTCGGCAGCTGCAGTGCGGAGAGGCAGAGACAGCCTACACCCCCGTGAGGGCCGAGCGAGGGCTGGGCCCCGTGGGGCTGCGTGGGGTGCGGTGTGCAGGGCACGAGGCTGACCTGAGCCTCTGCAACACCTCCCTACCTGAGAGCACACCAGCAGCAGGGATCATGGAGGACGTGGGGGTCGTGTGCCGGGGTGAGTGGTGCTGCACGTCCCCCAAGTGTGGGTCTGGGAGTGCAGCCAGCCCCTGACAGCCGGGGTTCTCCCCGCTGCAGGGAGCCGGTGGGTGCGGCTGGTGGACGGGGCCTGGGCGCTGTGCCGGGAGAGTGGAGATCTACTACCAGGGGCGCTGGGGCACCGTCTGCGACGACGCCTGGGACCTGGCTGACTGCCGCCGTCGTTTGCCACCAGCTGGGCTGCGGAGGGGCCCTGGAGGCAGCCAGGCTCTGCTCGGTTTGGGGAGGGCTCCGGGCAGATCTGGCTGGATGGCGTCAACTGCTCCGGGGCCTGAAGCTGCTCTCTGGGACTGCCCTGCCAAGGCCTGGGGGCAGCACAACTGCGGGCACAAGGAGGATGCGGGAGTCGTCTGTTCAGGTCTGTGATGGGAGTGTGGCTGGCAGCTGGGGACAGTGAGGCCAGGGTGATGGCAGAGCCAGGTAGGGCCAAGGCCATCAGTGGCTGCCATCCAAGGACGTCCCTGGGGCCTTTCCTCCTTCCAGAGTTCATGGCCTTGAGGCTGGAGAACAGCGACGGCTGCTCCGGGCGCCTGCAGGTTTTCTACAACGGGACGTGGGGCAGCGTTTGCTCCAACTCCATGACCACCGAGACGGTGTCACTGGTGTGCAAGGAGCTGGGCTGCGGGAATGAAGGGGAACTGGAAACAGATTCTAACTCTGCCAAGCTGTCTGGCATCACGTGGCTCGATCACGTGGAGTGTGGGAAGAGCAGCAGCTCCTTCTGGCAGTGTCCCTCTCATCCCTGGCATCTGCAGTCATGTGATGACCTCCGAGAAGAGACCCACATAACCTGCAATGGTAAATCTGGTTTCTCAAGGCACCAGGTCCACTTCCCCACTGGGTATGGTGAAATGCAGAGAAGGAATCCAGAGGGGCTTTGACTTCCTGCATTAGACCCTGTTGCTGCTGGTGGTACAAAGGTGACTTAAGCTGTCGGAGCCATCCACATCCACCAGCAGCAGTCAACGGCCAGGATGCCATCAGCTCCTGGGAATTTGGTGCATTTGAGAGGTGCCTGGTGCAGGTGATGGATAGGAAGAAGTATGGGGTTTAGAGTCACGTTGCTTTGGAGAAGGATCTGGTCAGGGGAGGAGTGAGAACCCTGTGCAGGACTGGGGGTGGTATGTGGGTGGGCATGGGCAGGGGCAGGGGGCCAATGGGGTTGGAAGAGGGGGTTATGAGGGCTGTGGGCAGCAAATGGCCCAGGAGGGCTGGAGTTGGGCATCCCCAGAGCAGTGCAGCCCATGGGCAGAGGAAGGATCCCTCCAACACACCAGTGAAAATCAGTGGGGACAGGGCTCCCACCCTGGGGCCTGTGACTCTGCCTGGGCAGCAGAGAAAGAATTCGCAGACCCACCTTGTGGGGCTCAAGGCTCTCCTGACCCTTCCTGTGCTGGTGTTTGAAGGGACTGCAGAGGTGAGGCTGGCGGATGGCGGCAGGCGCTGTGCTGGAAGAGTGGAGGTGAAACACCAGGGTCAGTGGGGGACCGTGTGCAGTGACCAATGGGACATGACCGATGCTGCAGTGGTTTGTAGGCAGCTGGGCTGTGGGGTTGCTCTCGAAGCTCCTCAGAAGGCACACTTTGGACCAGGATCTGGTTCCATTTGGATGGATGATGTTCAGTGTAATGGCAATGAGTCTGCCCTGTCTGACTGCACACACAATGGCTGGGGTCAAACAGACTGCGATCACAGCTGGGATGCTGGAGTGACATGCTCAGGTAAGGACTGAACTTGTTCCCTACCTCTGGGATGAGGACACTTCTAAGGGACCTGGCTGTGACGTCAGGAAGCAACGAGTGAACACCAGAACATGGCTCTGTGTGTCAAGTTGCACTCTGAGCTGGGTCTGTCACTGCTGGTGTCCCTTGTCCCTGGAGAAAGCCCAGTGGGAGCACACCCAGCCTGGCCCTGAAGCTGGAGCAGCCAACTGGGGAGGTGCCTGGTTCTGGGAGAAGAAAGCCCCCACCTTTCCCCATTGTGTTGCCTGGTTCCCATCTTTGTCATCCCATTCACCCAGGCCCTGTCTGGCAGGCTGGTCCCTATGCCAGGGGAATCTAGAGCAGCTCCCCCAGCCACCAGCAGCCTCAGGGAAGGGCGTGCAATGGCCCAGGACTTTTGGGTTGTACCCCCAGCAGCCAAGAGAACCTTGGCCAAAGCAGAGGGGCTGCTCAGAGGGCAGGAGCACTGAGGTTGTGCAGAGGAACATGGTGGCAAGGAGCACCCTGTTCATGTCCTGGGGTCACCCCATGAGTGCCAGCCCCTAGGGACACGGCCCCTCCAGGCCGTGCTGACCCACTGCCCAGCCTCTCCTGCCTACCCTGCACCCCAGAGGCTGTGCCAGCACCTCCTGGCTCTCCTCGGTGCCTGCCCTCATACCGGGATCTCGTGTCATCCCAGGGTTGCTCTCTGCCTGCTCTTTTGCTCTATGTGTGGCTGGTGGATGGGGTCATCCATGCCCAGCACCACACTTTGTCCCTGTCTGAGGACCCCCCCTTTACCTGCTCCCCAGATGTGCCCCATTCTAACAGCAGCTCCGCAAGAGCTCCAGCAGCCCCTGGGAACAGGGGACTTTTTTGGAAGCTCCAAGGGGTTCCTCAGCCTGGCCTGAGCCCGGCAGGGCAGAGACAACTGCAGCAGCCCCCAGTGCCTGGGCCCATTTCCTTGGGCCCACATGCTGTGAGTGCTGCAGTGCTGGGGCCGGTGCTGGGCAGCCCAGGGGCTCCAACCAGCAGCAATTAGTCTGAGCGGTGCCTGCAGCCGGGGGCTGGGAGAGAGGGCAGCCCATGGGTACTGGGCTGGATTCTGAGGAGCAGCAGGGGGGCCCTGACCTCTTTGTGCGATCAGCACCCACTGAGAACTTCTGGGCTGACCGTGGAGCTCTGAATCTTGCCACTTTACGGATGAGGTGGGAGGTGGGCACGGAAGTGCCAGAGGGCTCTGGGAACTCACAGCTCTCCTTGGTTGCTCCAGGATTTGTCCAGCTGGTCGGAGGGGAAAGCCCTTGCTCAGGAAGTCTGGAGGTCTACGACAGGGACCAGTGGAAAGCTGTCTGTCACTCTCACTTTGATGACAAAGCTGCCGAGGTGGTGTGCAGGGAGCTGCAGTGTGGCACAGCCCTGTCTGTCCATGGGGCAGCTCAGCTGGGAGAAGGGGCCGGTCCTTTCTGGGACAGAGAGCTGCAGTGTGTGGGGAATGAATCCACCATCCTCTTCTGCCCCTGGGGGACCTCCAAGGACAAGGCCTGCACCCACAGCAATGGCACTCATGTCACCTGCACACGTAAGGACTCGCAGTGGGATGATGGGCAATGGGGTTGTGGTGGGGGCAGGAGAGCAGGGTGGCACTGGGCTGTGCTGGGTGGGGGACAGGTGGGGTGAGGTGGTGGTCTGCGGTCCTAAAATGAGAGTGCTGCAGGAGGAGAAAGGCACGCTGTCCCTTTGGCCTCTCCTGCAGCTCCTGTGGGAGCAAGAGCACAAATGTGGCCTCTCTCACCCTCCTTTGTCCCCAGAGTACACAGGGTTCAGGCTGGTGAATGGCAGCACAGCGTGTGAGGGCAGGGTGGAGGTCGAGGTGCTGGGAACGTGGGGGACCCTCTGTGCCTCCCGCTGGGACCTCTCGGATGCCCACGTTCTGTGTCGGCACCTCGGCTGTGGCTTTGCTGAGTCCATTCCTGGAGGAGGGCATTTTGGGAGAGGAACCGGCCCCGTCTGGAGAGACTCGTTCCACTGTGACGGGACTGAAGCCCACCTGGGGCAGTGCCCGGTGACTGCCCTGGGGGCCTCGCCGTGCTCCCAGGAGAACGCTGCTGCTGTCATTTGCTCAGGTGAGTGCTGGGCATTGCTGCAAAGTCCACTTGCTACTGGTGTGTGACATGGCCACACAAATTTGGGGAGCTCATGGCACAGCCTGGCTGAATTTTTCCTCTCACCAGGCCTAACTCACCCCATGCCCCTGCGGTTGGTGGGTGGAGAGAGCCGGTGCGACGGGCGCGTGGAGGTCTTCCAGCACGGGACGTGGGGCAGAGTCCTGGATGAGCAGTGGGACATGCAGGAGGCCAGCGTGGTGTGCTGGCAGCTGCAGTGCGGAGAGGCAGAGGCAGCCTACACCCCCGTGAGGGCCGAGCGAGGACGAGGACCTGTGGGGCTGCGTGGGGTGCAGTGTGCAGGGCACGAGGCTGACCTGAGCCTCTGCAACACCTCCCTGCCTCAGAGCATGCCAACAGAAGGGATCATGGAGGACGTGGGGGTCGTGTGCCAGGGTGAGTGGTGCTGCACGTCCCACAGGTGCTGTCCGGGAGGGCAGCCAGCCCCTGACGGCCGGGGTTCTTACCACTGCAGGGAGCCGGCGGGTGCGGCTGGTGGACGGGGCCGGGCGCTGTGCCGGGAGAGTGGAGATCTACTACCAGGGGCGCTGGGGCACCGTCTGTGACGACTCCTGGGACCTGGTCGACGCCGCCGTCGTTTGCCGCCAGCTGGGCTGCGGAGGGGCCCTGGAGGCAGCCGGCTCTGCTCGGTTTGGGGAGGGCTCCGGGCAGATCTGGCTGGATGGCGTCAACTGCTCTGGGGCTGAAGCTGCTCTCTGGGACTGCCCTGCCAAGGCCTGGGGGCAGCACGACTGCAGGCACAAGGAGGACGTGGGAGTCGTCTGCTCAGGTCTGTGCCGGGGGCGGGTCTGGGAGTCAGGGACAGTGAGGCTGTGGTGAGGGTAGATCCAGTTAGAGCCAAGGCCATCAGTGACTGACATCCAAGGACTTCCCTGGGGCCTTTCCTCCTTCCAGAGTTCATGGCCCTGAGGCTGGAGAACAGCGACGGCTGCTCCGGGCGCCTGCAGGTTTTCTACAACGGGACGTGGGGCAGCGTTTGCTCCAACTCCATGACCACCGAGACGGTGTCACTGGTGTGCAAGGAGCTGGGCTGCGCGAATGAAGGGGACTGGGAAATAATCTTGAACTCTGCCACGCTGTCTGGCATCATGTGGCTGGATCACGTGGAGTGTGGGAAGAGCAACAGCTCCTTCTGGCAGTGTCCCTCTGATCCCTGGCATCCACAGTCGTGTGATGACGTCCGAGAAGAGACCCACATCACCTGCAATGGTAAATCTGAGCCATCAAGGCACCAGGTCCTGTTCCCCATTGGATATGGTTAAATGTAGAGAAGGAACCCAGAGGGGCTTTGACTTCCTGCATTAGACCCTGTTGCTGCTGGTGGTACAAAGGTGACTTAAGCTCTCGGAGCCATCCACATCCACCAGCAGCAGTCAATGGCCAGGATGCCATCAGCTCCTGGGGTTTTGGTGCCTTTGAGAGGTGCCTGGGGGAGGTTATGAATAGGAATATTATGGGTTTAGAGTCACGGGACTTTGGAGAGGGTGCTGGTCAGGGGAGGAGTGGGAACCCTGTGCAGGACTGGGGGTGGTGTGTGAGTGGGCATGGGCAGTGGCAGGGGACCACTGGGGTTGGAAGAGGGGGTTATGAGGGCTTTGGGCAGCAAATGGCCCAGGAGGGCTGGAGTTGGGCATCCCCAGAGCAGTGCAGCCCATGGGCAGAGGAAGGATCCCTCCAACACACCAGTGAAAATCAGTGGGGACAGGGCTCCCACCCTGGGGCCTGTGACTCTGTGTGCGCAGTGGGCACTCGCAGACCCACACTGTGGGGCTCAAAGCTCTTCTGACCCTTCCTGTGCTGGTTTTTGAAGGGACTGCAGAGGTGAGGCTGGCGGATGGCGGTAAGCACTGTGCTGGAAGAGTGGAGGTGAAACACCAGGGTCAGTGGGGGACCGTGTGCAGTGACCAATGGGACATGTCTGATGCTGCAGTGGTTTGTAGGCAGCTGGGCTGTGGGGTTGCTCTCAAAGCTCCTCTGTATGCACACTTTGGACCAGGATCTGGTTCCATTTGGATGGATGATGTTCAGTGTAATGGCAATGAGTCTGCCCTGTCTGACTGCACACACAATGGCTGGGGTCAAACAGGCTGCGATCACAGCTTGGATGCTGGAGTGACATGCTCAGGTAAGGACTGAACTTGTTCCCTACCTCTGGGACGAGGACACTTCTAAGGGACCTGGCTGTGACGTCAGGAAGCAACGAGTGAACACCAGAACATGGCTCTGTGTGTCAAGTTGCACTCTGAGCTGGGTCTGTCACTGCTGGTGTCCCTTGTCCCTGGAGAAAGCCCAGTGGGAGCACACCCAGCCTGGCCCTGAAGCTGGAGCAGCCAACTGGGGAGGTGCCTGGTTCTGGGAGAAGAAAGCTCCCAACCTTCCCCATTGTGTTGCCTGGTTCCCATCTTTGTCATCCCATTCACCCAGGCCCTGTCTGGCAGGCTGGTCCCTATGCCAGGGGAATCTAGAGCAGCTCCCCCAGCCACCAGCAGCCTCAGGGAAGGGCGTGCAATGGCCCAGGACTTTTGGGTTGTACCCCCAGCAGCCAAGAGAACCTTGGCCAAAGCAGAGGGGCTGCTCAGAGGGCAGGAGCACTGAGGTTGTGCAGAGGAACATGGTGGCAAGGAGCACCCTGTTCATGTCCTGGGGTCACCCCATGAGTGCCAGCCCCTAGGGACACGGCCCCTCCAGGCCGTGCTGACCCACTGCCCAGCCTCTCCTGCCTGCCCTGTGCCCCAGAGGGGGCTGTGCCAGCACCTCCTGGCTCTCCTCGGTGCCTGCCCTCACACCAGGAGCTCATGTCATCCCAGGGCTGCTCTCTGCCTGCTCTCTTGCTCCATGTGTGGCTGATGTCTGGGGTCATCCATGCCCAGCACCACACTTTGTCCCTGTCTGAGGACCCCCCCTTTACCTGCTCCCCAGATGTGCCCCATCTAACAGCAGCTCCCCAAGAGCTCCAGTACCCCTGGGAACAGGGGGCTTTTTTGGAAGCTCCAAGGGGTTCCTCAGCCTGGCCTGAGCCCGGCAGGGCAGAGACAACTGCAGCAGCCCCCAGTGCCTGGGCCCATTTCCTTGGGCCCACATGCTGCAGGTGCAGCAGTGCTGGGGCCGGTGCTGGGCAGCCCAGGGGCTCCAACCAGCAGCAATTAGTCTGAGCGGTGCCTGCAGCCGGGGGCTGGGAGAGAGGGCAGCCCATGGGTACTGGGCTGGATTCTGAGGAGCAGCAGGGGGGCCCTGACCTCTTTGTGCAATCAGCACCCACTGAGAACTTCTGGGCTGACCGTGGAGCTCTGAATCTTGCCACTTTACGGATGAGGTGGGAGGTGGGCACGGAAGTGCCAGAGGGCTCTGGGAACTCACAGGTCTCCTTGGTTGCTCCAGGATTTGTGCAGCTGGTCGGAGGGGAAAGCCCTTGCTCAGGAAGTCTGGAGGTCTACGACAGGGACCAGTGGAAAGCTGTCTGTCACTCTCACTTTGATGACAAAGCTGCCGAGGTGGTGTGCAGGGAGCTGCAGTGTGGCACAGCCCTGTCTGTCCATGGGGCAGCTCAGCTGGGAGAAGGGGCCGGTCCTTTCTGGGACAGAGAGCTGCAGTGTGTGGGGAATGAATCCACCATCCTCTTCTGCCCCTGGGGGACCTCCAAGGACAAGGCCTGCACCCACAGCAATGGCACTCATGTCACCTGCACACGTAAGGACTCGCAGTGGGATGATGGACAATGGGGTTGTGGTGGGGGCAGGAGAGCAGGGTGGCACTGGGCTGTGCTGGGTGGGGGACAGGTGGGGTGAGGTGGTGGTCTGCGGTCCTAAAATGAGAGTGCTGCAGGAGGAGAAAGGCACGCTGTCCCTTTGGCCTCTCCTGCAGCTCCTGTGGGAGCAAGAGCACAAATGTGGCCTCTCTCACCTTCCTTTGTCCTTGAGTACACAGGATTCAGGCTGGTGAATGGCAGCACAGCGTGTGAGGGCAGGGTGGAGGTGGAAGTGCTGGGGACGTGGGGGACCCTCTGTGCCTCCCGCTGGGACCTCTCGGACGCCCACGTTCTGTGTCGGCACCTCGGCTGTGGCTTTGCTGAGTCCATTCCTGGAGGAGGGCATTTTGGGAGAGGAACCGGCCCCATCTGGAGAGACTCGTTCCACTGTGACGGGACTGAAGCCCACCTGGGGCAGTGCCCGGTGACTGCCCTGGGGGCCTCGCCGTGCTCCCAGGAGAACGCTGCTGCTGTCATTTGCTCAGGTGAGTGCTGGGCATTGCTGCAAAGTCCACTTGCTACTGGTGTGTGACACGGCCACACAAATTTGGGGAGCTCATAGCAGCACCTGGCTGAATTTCTGCTCTCACTAGGCCCAGCTCACCACATGTCTGTACGGTTGGTGGGTGGAGAGAGCCGGTGCGACGGGCACGTGGAAGTCTTCCAGCACGGGACGTGGGGCAGAGTCCTGGATGAGCAGTGGGACATGCAGGAGGCCAGCGTGGTGTGCCGGCAGCTGCAGTGCGGAGAGGCAGAGGCAGCCTACACCCCCGTGAGGGCCGAGCGAGGACGAGGACCTGTGGGGCTGCGTGGGGTGCGGTGTTCAGGGCAGGAGGCTGACCTGAGCCTCTGCAACACCTCCCTGCCTCAGAGCATGTCAGCAGCAGAGATCATGGAGGACGTGGGTGTCGTGTGCCGGGGTGAGTGGTGCTGCACGTCCCCCAAGTGTGGGTCTGGGAGTGCAGCCAGCCCCTGATGGCCGGGGTTCTCCCCGCTGCAGGGAGCCGGCGGGTGCGGCTGGTGGACGGGGCCGGGCGCTGTGCCGGGAGAGTGGAGATCTACTACCAGGGGCGCTGGGGCACCGTCTGCGACGACGCCTGGGACCTGGCTGACGCCGCCGTCGTTTGCCACCAGCTGGGCTGCGGAGGGGCCCTGGAGGCAGCCGGCTCTGCTCGGTTTGGGGAGGGCTCCGGGCAGATCTGGCTGGATGGCGTCAACTGCTCCGGGGCTGAAGCTGCTCTCTGGGACTGCCCTGCCAAGGCCTGGGGGCAGCACGACTGCAGGCACAAGGAGGATGCGGGAGTCGTCTGTTCAGGTCTGTGCTGGGAGTGTGGCTGGCAGCTGGGGCGTTGGAATCTGGGGTGAGGTTAGAGCCAGGTAGGGCCAAGGCCCTCAGTGGCTGACATCCAAGGATGTCCCTGGGGCCTTTCTTCCTTCCAGAGTTCATGGCCCTGAGGCTGGAGAACAGCGACGGCTGCTCCGGGCGCTTGCAGGTTTTCTACAACGGGACGTGGGGCAGCGTTTGCTCCAACTCCATGACCACCGAGACAGTGTCACTGGTGTGCAAGGAGCTTGGTTGCGGGAATGAGGGGGAACTGGAAACAGATTCTAACTATGCCAAGCTGTCTGGCAAGGCGTGGCTGGATTACGTGGAGTGTGGGAAGAGCAACAGCTCCTTCTGGCAGTGTCCCTCTGCTCCCTGGCATCCACAGTCGTGTGATGACCGTCGTGAAGAAACCCATATCACCTGCAATGGTAAATCTAGTTTCTCAAGGCACCAGGTCCACTTCCCCATTGGGTATGGTGAAATGCAGAGAAGGAACCCAGAGGGGCTTTGACTTCCTGCATTAGACCCTGTTGCTGTTGGTGGTACAAAGGTGACTTCAGCTCTCGGAGCCACCCATGTTCACCAGTAGCAGTCAACAGCAGGGCTGCCCTTTGCCCCTGTGAGAGGCAGAGACATCTCCAGGAGAGGTCTCATAGGAGACCATGTGGGCATGGGCAGCAGTTTGCACTCTATGAACAGCCTCCTGCTGCTCTGTGAATCAGGGACCCTGTGGGGATGCCTACTCAGTTCCTGCCCACAGTGATGTGTGTGTCCCCTGAACAAACAAACAAACAGGGTGCTTCTGCTGCCCTGATCCAGGCAGCAGGAGCAAGTGTGAGCAGAGGTCAGCCCTGCTCTCTTTTGCACGACCCCTAGAGCAACCCTTTTCAGCCCAACTTCTCTTTCCTTTGGGACATGGACAGAACGGCCGCAGGTGGCTGCATGCCCCAACTCCACCAGCTGCACAGGTAGGGAGCTGCCCCTGCGCGTGCCCCCCTCACCTGGCAGGGCTGTCCCAGCTCTCCTGGTGCCATGGGACATCGCTGCCTCCCCAGACAGGGAGAAGATCCGCACCGTGGGAGGCAAGGACGGCTGCTCGGGCAGAGTGGAGATCTGGCACCGTGGCACCTGGGGGACGCTGTGTGACAATGCCTGGGACATGCGGGATGCCGAGGTGGCGTGCAGGCAGCTGGGCTGTGGCCCCGCGCTCTATGCCCTGGGCCAGGCTGCTGCTGGAGAGGGGACGGGCCCCATGTGGCTGATGGAGTGCAGGGGGACGGAGCTGTCTCTGCAGGACTGCTGGGCCCAGCCAGGGGACAGCGCTGCCTGCCAGCATAAGGCAGATGCGGCTGTGCATTGCTCAGGTGAGCAGTGGGGCTGGGAGACATGGCTGGGGGCTTGTCAAGGGTTTGCCCAAGGGCTTGGGCATCTGCCCTGCTGGATCCTGGCATGGCCGCAGTGCTGGCCTGAGCAAGGGTGTCCCTGCAGAGTGGGGGGCTGGTGGTGGGTGGGGAGCAGCCTCTGTGGGGCTGGATGTGCCAGCACATCCCCTGGGCTGCCTGCACTGTCCTATGAGCAGCACAGAGCAGTGGTGCTGGGCCCTGTCCTTGTCACCCTGCCCAGCCCCAAAGGAGGGACAATTCAGGTGGCCCATGTTGGCGCCATTTGCCAGGGAGGCTGCCTGGTGCCACAGCCCCAGCCTCTCAGCCCAGCTCTCCTTCTGCTCCCCTGCAGCTGCACCCAGGACAGCAACATCCCCCCCACAAGCAGGTAAGCTGTCCTTCCCCTGGGGCTGGGTCTGTCCATATTCACGCTGTGACCCACAGCCAGGGGAAGGGGCTCTTTGCTTTGCTGTGAGACTCCCAGGAATATGTGGGAGCTGGTGGAAGTCTGTGATGTACCCAGCAGGGTGGGAGCTGCCCCATCACCCAGCCCTGTCCCCTCCCAGCCCCTGCTGCCTTGTGTGGTCAGCAGTGACTTGTCCCACCCCCAACCTCTCCCTTGTCTGATGCTGCCCCTGCCATGTTCCTGCCCTTGCAGATCCCCCACGGGGCCGTCCGACCACCAGGAGCGAGAGACTCTCAGTGCCTGTCGTCATCTGCATCATCCTGGGGGCCCTCCTCTGCCTGCTCCTGGCCCTCCTGGCTGGGCAGGTGCGAAGCGCCAGGGCTCAGCGCAGAGGTGGGTCCTTCCCCAGTGGTCCTGGGGGGGAGATGCCTCCTGGCAGGGCTGGGGGTGTTGGTGTCCTGGAGCACAGAAAGAGAGCCGTGTGCTGCCCCATGTGCTGCCCCACTGACTGACAGACCATGGGGCACCAACATCAAGGGGTGGAGAGAGCCCAGAGCCTGAGGCATCAGTTCTGGGGTGAGAAGAGAAATGTGAGATCTGGGCTGGGTGAGACAGGGAGGATGCACTGCTGGCAGTGCTCTGGGCAGCACTGGCAGGAGGAGCATGGGGCAGCAGGGTCTATCACCGTGGTGTCAGCCACCCCCCAACAGGGCACGGGCTGTGTTATTGATGTGTGGGGCAGAGATGGAGCAGCTCCATGGGGAGGAGAAATGTGGGAATTGGTTCAGGGTCTGCACTGGGACTTGAGCCGGGGACCAAAGGGGCATAAAGGCTGTCTCCAAATGCGAGACTGACTGTGCCTCAGACCATCTCCATGGGGATGCTGCCCTCCCTGGGGATGTGGCCTCAGTGCCAACACAACACAGTGGGGCTTTGCTGTGGGGACAGCCCTGTGCTGGCCTAGGGAATTTGGCTGAGGGAGCCCAGTGGGGTCCTGTCCCTCTCTGCCCATTCCCAGACCAGCCCTGCCTCTGTCCTCAGGCTCTGGGAGAGCTGGGGAGCCCTTCCCTGAGGCCGTGTATGAGGAGATCGCTTACAGCCTGGCATGGGAGAAGCGGACGAGGTTCAGTCTCTCAGGTGGGTGTATGCTCCTGAAGGGGCACTTTCTCTCTGCCTCAGACCAGGGCTGTGTCCTGCAGCTCCTGCCCATGGTCCCTGAAATGGTTGGGCCATGGCATCTGTGGGAGAGCATCCAGGTATTGGCCCCCACAAAGGAGCTTCCTCCGCACCAGCTCTGCCCATCCCAGAGAGGACAGCCCCTCTCTGCTGGGCCCTGCACCCTGGGGACATCCAAGGGCTGAGTTATGTGTCTGTTCCAGGGCAACTCTGGGAGCCCCTATGAGATGGGCTCATCCTAGGGTAGCAGGGGTGGTCTCCTTCCCACTCTATCCCAGCTCTGTGGGTGCCCATCCCCAGCAGTGCTGACCACCAATCAGGGCAGCAGGGATCATCCCATAGCACCCACTGCAGCTCTCTGCAGCCTCCTTTTCAGAGGGGTCCCTGACCCAGCTGCAGCCCTACCCCAGACACATGAGGAGGAGGATGGTCTGGGGCCAGCTGCAGGGATAGAAGGGGAGGGAGAGGAAGGGCTTCATCTCTCCTCCCTGCAGACAGACAGACAGCAGTGCCTCTGAGTGCCACTTTCAGAGCTGGAGGGACGAGGGCTCTGCTGTGACCCTGACACCAGCAGCATGTCAGCCCTGTGTCCCCACACACCCTCCCATCCTCTGCTCTGCAGGACATCTCTTCTCATTGCCACCACCTTCCTTCTCCTTTCAGATGTCCCTGTCCTGCCCGGAGGTTACCCAGCAGATGGTTATGATGATGCTGTGGAGGTTTCTGACCCTGGGGAGGATCCTGTCCCTGGGCAGGAGGACTGGGAAGTGCGCAGGACACCAGAGGATGGAGATGGGCGCAGGGATGCAGCCACAGGTGAGAGGGCAATGCAGCACTGCCACTTCCTAGGTGCCAGGAGAATCCAAGAAGTATTTAGAGCCTGATCTCCTGACATGGGGAACCTGGCCTGAGATATTTCCAGGAGGCTGGTGGATGTGCCAAATGTCTCAGGCTTCTGAGGAGGGGGAAGGTGTTGTACAGCCCTGAGAAGAACCCCATAGGATCAACCACAACAGCCTGCCTTGATGCTTACAGAGGGAAGCCTGCGCTCCCGGAGACGTGCTGAGGACCCTGGAGCTGATGGAGACATCTTGTCCCCTTTTCTGGTACACATGGGCTATGATGATGCTGAAGAGATGTCTCTGGCATGTCCCCATGAGGACACCCAGGATGTGACACTGAAGTCCAGTGCACAAGGGTCCCAGAGCCCCATGCCAGCAGAGCCCAGCCCTGCTGAGCAGCTGGGTGCAGCCAGGAGGGAGGAGAGCTCAGTGCCACTGGGAGAGCCGTGAGTGCCAGGGAACGGTCTCCCTTTTCCAGCAGTCAGCAGACACGCACGGGTATTTCCTGTCTTGGTATTCCCCTGTTTTTGTGCTTTGTGTTGACAAATGTTTATATTAAAACCCTCCGGGGGGGGGCTTTGTCCCAGATCCATTGCTTTCCTGCCCAGGTGTTGGGGTGTCTCTCTGAGGCTAACCAATTGGAGTAGAGCTCAAAGATGCAATAGTGGGGAATGGTCATTTCTTGGGATCAACAGGGTTGGGATCAGGCTGTAGGGCTGCCAGAACCCCTAGTCCCTAGACACTATTCCTACTGACAGAGACATTTCCGTCCTGCCAGCCACAGGCAATTTCCAGCAAAAGTGGCTCTGTGTGACGCCTCATGATGCACTCGCTGGTAGCGCCCATCTTCTACAGCCTTGGGCCCTCATGGAACCCAAGGATTCCTGCCCAGCACCCACAGACAGAGGAACCTCTCCTGCAGCATCAGAGTGGCGAGAAGTGTTGGACCCCTGGGCAGGACTTGATACCCAAACTGCCCTCCCTGATCCTGCTTGTAGGTCCTCCCCAGCTCTTCCCCAGCAGGCGCCTCCGCTGCAGGATTAGAGATGCTTTTGGTAGTAGGGTGGTGGGCTGCAGGGGGTGCTGGATGGTCTGGAACATCTGTTTGATCCATTTGGGTCAGCTGTCCTGGCTGTGTCAGGGACACTTTCCTCAAAATCAGATTGCTCAAAGCCCCATCCAGCCTGGCCTTGAATGCTTCTAGGGATGGGACACCATCCAACAACCTTTCTGGGCAACCTCCTCCAGTGCCTCACCACCCTGAGTAAATGATTTCTTCTGAATATCTAATCTCAATCTACCTTCTTTGAGTTTAAAGCTATTTCCCCTTGTCCTGTTACTACATCCTCTAATAAATTCTCTCTCTCCAGCTTTCCTTTATGCCCTCTGGAGCTACTGGAAGGTTGCTCTACGTTCTGCCTACAAAGGCCCAGGGCCTTCTGTTCTTAATTCCTCTCTTCTCCCTCTTCATAGGAGAGATGCTCCAGCCCTCTTATCATTTTTGTGGCCCTCCTCTGGACTTGCTCCAATGGGTCCATGTCTTTCTCACGTTGGGGATCCCAGAGGTGAACACACTATGTTAAGTGGGGTCTCACAAGAGCAGAAGAGAAAATGAGAATCACCTCCCCTGACCTGCTGGCTGTGTTTATTCTGATGCAGCCCAGGACTTTGCTTTCAGGGTTACAAGTGCATATTGCCTACACATGTTGAGTTTTTCAAGCACCAACACCCCCCAGGACCCTCTCCACAAGGCTGCTCTCACTCCCTTCTCCACCCAGCTTGTATTTATGCATAGGACTGCTTCAACCCATGTGTGGGAGTTTACACTCAGCCTTGTTGAAGTTCATGAGTTTCACACAGGCCCACCTCTCAAGCCTGTCATGGCCCCGCTAGATGACACCCCTTCCCTCCAGTACGTCAACCTCACCACACTGCTTGCTGTCATCAGCAAACTTGCTGAGGGTGCACTTGATCAACTGCCCATGTCACCAACAAAGATGTGAAATAGTGCCGGTCCCAGTACCGAGCCCTGAAGAACACCATTTATAACAGATCTCCACTTGGACATTGATCTGTTGACCACAATCCTGTGAGTGCGACCATCCAGACAATTCCTGATATCCACTGAGCGGTCCATCTGTCAGATCCATGTCTCTCCAATTAGAGACAGGAATGCTACATGGGATATGTCAAATACTTTGCACGAATCAGGTAGATGATGTCAGTTACTTTTCTCTTACCCACAAACACTGTAACACCATTGCAGTAGGCCTACAGATATGTTAGGCACGCTCTGCCCTTAGTGAAGACATGTTGGCTGTCACCGATCACCTCTTTATTTGTCATATGCCTTAGCCGAGTTTCCTCCTGGATCTGTTCCATGATCTTGTTGGGCTCAGAGGTGGGTCTGATTGGGCTAGACTTCCCTGGGCCTACTTTTATTCCCTTTTAAAAAGTGGGGGTTATGTTCTCTGTGTTACAATCAGTAGAAACTTCACTGCACAGCCACCACTTTTCAAATATGACGAGTAGTGGCTTTGCAACTTCATCTGCCAGTTCCCGCAAGACTCTGGGATTCATCTCACCTAGTCCCGTGGGCTTGTGCACCTTCTGTTTCCTCAGATACTCCTGAAACTGATCTTCTACAGTAGGTGGTTCTTCTCTCTCCCAGTCCCTGCCTTTGCCTTCTGGGACTTGGATGGTGTAGCTGGAGCTATTCCAGTGAAGAATGAGGCAAAGAAGTCATTGAGTACCTCAGCCTTCTCCATATCCCGGGTAACCAGGTCTCCTGTTTCCTTCTGGAGAGGGTCCATGTTTTCCCTAGTGTTCCTTTTATCACTGACATACTTATAGAAGCCCTTCTTGTTGCCCTTGAACTTCCTATCTAGATTCAATTTTACCATAGCTTTGGCTTTCCAGACTTGATCCCTGCCTGCTCGGGTGATGTTTCTTCATTCCTCTCAGGTTACCTGTCCTTGCTTCCACTTTCTGCAGCCTTCTATGGTGGTTTTATACAGGTGGGCATCTGAGCTTCATCACAGCTGCTCTATCACTCCCCCTCCTCTAAGGGAAAGGAGGAGAAAATATGATGAAACCAGTTCAAATGTTGAGATAAGGAGAGGGAGATCGCTTAATAATTATCATCATGGGCAAAACAGACTCAGATTAGGAAGATATTAAAATTTAGTCTACTACTAACAAGCTAGAAAAGTGAGAAACAAAGGAAAGAAACCCCAAACACCTTCCCCCATCCACCCTTTTTTATCTCCTCCACTTAGGCAGCACAGAGGAATGGGGGAATGGGGCTTATGGGTGATCTATAGCACTTCGTCTCCACCGCTCCTTCTCAGTCACTCTCTGTCCATGCTCTAAGGTTGGGTCCCTTCCATGGGATGCTGTCCTTCCTGAACTGATCCTGAGTGGGCTTCCCACAGGCAGCAGCTCTTCAAGAACTGCTCCAGATATGGCTTCGAACCACGGGTTCCATTCATCATGAGCAAACTGCTCCAACCTTGTCCCCCGTGGGCAGCAGCTCCTGCCAGGTTGCCTGCTCCTGTGTGGGCTCCTCTCCATGGGCTACAGCTCCATCCTGGAATCTACTCTGGTGAGGGTTCTCCACAGACCGCAGCCTCCATCAGTGCAGGTCCATCTGCTCCACCGTGGTCTCCTCCATGGACTGCAGCATGGAGATCTGCTCCACCCTTGTACTCCATGGGCTGCAGGGGGACGACCTGCTCCACCATGGTCCTCAACACAGGCAGCAAGAGAGCTTCTGCTCTGGCACCTGGAGCACCTCCTTCCCCTCCTTCACTTGGCCACTGCCTGGCTATTTATCACTCCTCTCTCTCCCAGCTGCCATGTAGCAGCATTTATTTATTTATTTATTTATTTATTTATTTATTTATTTATTTTCCCTTTCCTTAAATATTCTCTCAGAGAAGCACAGACAACATTGCTTACTGGCTCAGCTCTGACCAGTGGCAGGCCCCTTATGTAAGATGGGATAACTTCTGGATTCTTCTCACAGAAAGCAAGAAACTGCCTGTGTGAGCTGGGGTTGGAGTCCAGTGCTGTGAATAGTGGTTGCATGGGGCTGATCTAGGACCCCCTGGGGCAGCATCTGCCAGGGTGTCCAGAGAAGAGCCCAGTCCAGACCCTGATCTGCTGGTCCTCCCTGTCTCTCCTAGGAGGCCAACCCAGCTCAGCCCATCGCCAGCTCTCCACACCTACTTCTCCTTTCCCCAGCCCAGCCCAGCCCAGCAGCCCAGGCTGGGAAGGCCCCAAAGCAGCAAATAGAGGAGTGGAGGTCAGTGGCAGTGTCCCTGCTGCTGCAATTTGCAGGAAATTCCCTTCCCACAGGCATTCTGCAACCCTGTACGCTAGCCCCGCTCCCCAGCACAGCACAGCACCACCCTAAGCTCTACATCTAAACGTCTTTTGAAGACTTCCAGGGATGGTGACTCCACCACCTCCCTGGGCAGCCCGTTCCAGTGCCTCACAACCCTTTCAGTAAAGAAATTCTTCCTAACATCTAACCTAAAACTCCCCTGGCATAACTTTAGCCCATTCCCCCTCGTCCTGTCACCAGGCACATGGGAGAACAGGCCAACCCCCACCTCGCTACAGCCTCCTTTAATGTACTTATACAGAGCAATAAGGTCACCCCTGAGCCTCCTCTTCTCTAGGCTGAACAAGCCCAGCTCCTTCAGCCGCTCCTCATAGGACTTGCTCTCCAGGCCCCTCACCAGCTTCGTCGCCCTTCTTTGGACCCGCTCAAGCACCTCGATGTCCTTCTTGTAGCGAGGGGCCCAAAACTGAACACAGTACTCGAGGTGCGGCCTCACCAGAGCACAGGGGGACGATCACCTCCCTAGCCCTGCTGGCAACACTGTTTCTGATCCAAGCCAGGATGCTGCTGGCCTTCTTGGCCACCTGAGCACACTGCTGGCTCATATTCAGCCGACTGTCCACCATCACTCCCAGGTCCTTCTCTGCCTGGCAGCTCTCCAACCATTCCTCTCCCAGCCTGTAGTTCTGCTTGGGGTTATTGCGCCCCAGGTGCAGGACTCGGCACTTGGCCTTGTTGAACTTCATACAGTTGACCTCAGCCCATCGGTGCAGCCTATCCAGATCCTCCTGCAGAGCCTTCCTATCCTCGAGCAGATCGACACACGCACCTAGCTTGGTGTCATCTGCAAACTTACTGAGGGTGCACTCAGTGCCGTCATCCAGATCATTGATGAAGATGTTAAAGAGGACCGGCCCCAGCACCGAGCCCTGGGGGACGCCACTAGTGACTGGCCTCCAACTGGACTTGGCTCCATTACCACGACTCCTTTGGGCCCGGCTATCCAGCCAGTTTCTAACCCAACGAAGCGGTGCCAGTCCAAGCCAAGAGCAGCCAGTTTCTTGAGGAGAATGCTGTGGGAGACGGTGTCAAAAGCCTTGCTGAAGTCAAGGTAGACCACAATCCACAGCCTTTCCCTCGTCCACCCAGCGCGTCACTTTGTCGTAGAAGGAGATCAGGTTCGTCAAGCAGGACCTGCCTTTCATAAACCCATGCTGACTGGGCCTGATCGCCTGCTTGCCCTTCAAGTGCCGCGTGATGACTCCCAAGAGGATCTGCTCCATGAGCTTCCCTGGTACTGAGGTCAAACTGACAGGCCTGTAGTTCCCCGGGTCTGCCCTCCGCCCTTCTTGTAGATGGGCGTCACATTTGCTAGTCGCCAGTCAGCTGGGACCTCCCCCGATAGCCAGGACTGCTGATAAATGATGGATAGGGGCTTGGCCAGCTCCTCTGCCAGTTCTCTCAGTACCCTTGGGTGGATCCCATCCGGCCCCATCGATTTGTGGACATCCAAGTGCCGTAGCAGGTCACCAACCAGTTCTTCGTGGATGGTGAGGGCCACATCCTGCTCCCCGTCCCCTTCCACCAGTTCTGGGTACTGAGGTCTCAACTCAATCCAAATTTTGTAATATTTATAAAACAAATATTTCTAAAAGGTATAAAAGGCAAGTAAAGAACACTGGGTGTGCGGGGAGTCTACGCTCCACCAACATTCACACACGAAGATCAAACATTCTAAATATACAGGACATTGCTTTACATACTAAACCTGAGTATGCCTATACATACGTACACTCAGGAAAGGTAACAAACAATCATTTAAGTTCCATAACTTAACAGTCTCCATTTTCCATTCCTTTACTTGATTACTAACAAGTCTCCATTTTCCATTGCTTCTGAACAACATGTCTCGCGTTAAGTTGTCAAGCAACTTGGTCTTCAGGCCTTTTGTATCCCGTTCTTCCCGGATCGAAGAAAAACATATCCATCTCCTTTGCAAGGCCAATGAGGCCTGGGTCAAAAGGCACGTCCAGGTCAGCAGAGGGCATAATAGCAAAGGCCTTCGATGGCTGCAGCAGCAGAGGGGCCCGTGGCGTAGCAGTTGGATCAGTAAAGGAGCCTTCAGCTCCCTCATTATCTGGCAAGCCACACATTTGTGATTGTGGCTCCACAGGGCTCTTTAAGGCCTCAGAGATTGCTCGCCAGGTGTCAAGCAATCCCACCACAACCTTGTCATTTTTAGCTGCAGAGTCCCACACCTTGACCGCAGTTTGGTCCCATATTTCAGGCTCATAAACAGTCCAATTGTTAATAAGGAAAATAAGCTGTAACTTTACCAGGACAGTCTTTGTTCCTAAGGACATATGATTCCCCATAATGCGCAACTGCTTACCAGCGAGAGGCAGTTGTGTGCACAGGTCCGCTTCTCTCAGCTCGAGCTTCTCTCCAGCTCCAGTGCGCCTATTCCAGCGACAAGCTTCTCTGAGCGGTTTGCTGAGTCTGGCCGAACCTATCTTCATGAGGCAATCAAAATGCCTGTTCCCATCCTGGTCTCCATTCTGCCAGCCTGTTCCTCTTCACTTCTTTTTCTGTTTCTTTATTGATGATGTAACTTCATTGTGTTGCCTTTTTTTTTTATCTTGAGGGCAGGCTCCC